AAGTAGCTGGGACTGCAGGCGTGTGCCACCACACCTGGCTAATTTTTGTATTTTAAGTAGAGATGGGGTTTTACCATATTGGTCAGGCTGGTCTCGAACTTGTGACCTCATGATCTGTCCGCCTCGGCCTCCCAAAGTGCTGGGATTACAGATGCGAGCCACTGCACCTGGCCTCAGTGAACATTTTCTAAATGCCAGTGATGAGCCAGGCACTGTGCTGGGTGCTGGGCTGCAAAGAAGAATATGATCTGGTTCTGTTCTTTAAGGAGTCACAGACACATAAACAGATGATGATCATGATAATGATACAGTGTGGCAAGTGCCAGCCTAGTGCTGATGTGAAACCCTGTGGGAAGATGGTGGCAGGAAGGGAGGGTAACAGAAGGGTTCCTGGGTGCTGGCAGTTGAGCTGGGGAAAGCCCTCCAGGCAAAGGAAGGAAAGCATGTGCCAAGGCCCTGAGGTGTGAAAATGCAGGGCACATTAGAGGAGCTTTGTGTAGTTTGGGGTGATGGAATGTGAGGGGTGAGGAGGAAGAGACCATGGATGAAGGTGGAAAGATGGGCCTCATTACAGGGTGTTGCTCTGGAGGTTGGGGGGAGGGGGTTTGTTTGTTTGTTTTTGTTTCTGTGTGTGTGTGTGTGTGTTCGTTTTGTTTTGTTTGTTTTTGAGACAAGGTCTTGCTCTGTTGCCCAGACTGAAGGGCAGTTGTGTGATCTTGGCTCACTGCAACCTCAAGCTCCTAGGCTCAAGCGCTCCTCCCACCTCAGCAGGTTACAGCAGGAAGTGGGAGCCAAATTTCCAGAAGGGGATAGACTGGGGGCTTGGTCCCCAGCCCTGAGTAGCTGGGACTACAGGCATGCACCACCACACCTGGTCAATTTTTTAATTCTTTGTAGAGACGGGTCTCACTCTGTTGGCCAGGCTGGTCTTGACCTCCTGGACTCAGGCAGTCCTCCTGCCTTGGCCTCCCAAAGTGTTAGAATTATAGGCGTGAGCCACCACACCTGGCCTGCTCAGGCATTTTGACTTAATTCTGGTGGGTGAGTGATAAGGAGGTCATTGAGGGACTTTAAGAGTGAATGAAACAATAACAGCTAGACTTTCAGAAAGATTATTTCAGTGTCGCTGTGGGTGGAGGACACATTAATGCGGGGGAGAGACTGGAGGCAGGGGGCTCCCCGTGAGAGCACAGGGGCTATTTATCAGCCTGAGTGAGAGGTGATAAATAACCTTACCTGCTCTTTCGTGAGGCAGGTGAACTTCATGATACAAAAGTGGAAGAGATTAGAATCAGTGACTTCTGTCCTATGCCTCCTCCCTTCCCCCACCCCAATATATTTTTTTCACTTGTCCACGCTTGAGGCTTTATTACAGTTTCATATCATCTTACAGTTTTTTCTTATGGGAGTCTCCCTACCCTCTGAGCTTTCCCCCCTCTCTCCTCACCATCATTCCAGGCCCAGCAAAGCACCCGCTTCCCAGCTCATCAAGCCCCCAGCCCCTCCCCTTCCGGGAAGTCAGCCCCCACTTCCTGCTGTAACCCTGGCGTGTCTGAACCCCCTCGGCCTACCCTAGCTCTGGCCCCCTGAGCCACCCTCAATCTGTTAGCTGCCCCCAACATCAATTCACCTCCCCCAAAAATGGGCAGTCGTAGGTTTTATGAAAGGTTTTGTGGGAAGTTGAGGAGAGCATTGCATCGTACCTATGGGACAAACTTTCCCCTAAGTCGCATTTAGGCATCTCTATGTTTTCCAGCTTTTCTCTCTGCTGGAGCTGCCACACATTAGCTCTTTCTCCCCCAGCATTCTCCCTCAACCCCGTGGGTTCCAGCCTTTTCCTCACCATGTCCCCTCAGCCACACAAAAACCTTGGCCTCCCGCAGTCTCTGGATGTAGGGACTGTGTCTCTCATTGAGGACTTTTCACGCACTGCTTTTCTTTACTGTCAGCAACTTTATCTACTGTGTCTCATCTTTTTAGACACACCTCCTTATGGACAGAGACTGTGTCTTTTCTCT